TAAAAAGTAACTAAGTAATGTAATTAGTTACTTTTTTATGGAGTAATGCAATATTGTAATGCATTATTTTTAAAAGTAACTTTCCTCAACACTAACCATCAGATGATAACCTCTTTCCCCAGGGCACCAGCATTAGGTGATAATTCGATTTTGAGGGTAACGCGGTCCAAAAGTAGGGCAGAGCGGTTTCCCGCACACTTGAAACTCAAGCTGTTTAAAGCAGCAGTGACTGGGGTGGGCTCACGGCCTGAACACTCATCCCACACACATAGGCCTCGAGTTCATTCAGCTCAAGGGCACCTAGGAGGAGGCTGATCTGATCAAAGGTGCTGGTCACGGCCATTAGGCGCAGCAATAAGGACCCAGCATGAAAAGGTTGTGATCTGAAAAGGGTTAGGAAAGAAAAGGAGAAAAAACAACATCAGGACCCTCTAAAGGAAGAAAGCAAACTGTGAAAAAATTGAAAAGGTACGTCAATCAACTACAAGCACCCAGTTGGACACAAGAGATTCCCAGGCTTTCACCCGAAGGGGCGACAGGCCAGAGAGGGCTGCTGGAGGGGGCAACCTGGGAAATTAAAGACCCTCTTTAAAAAGCATGTAAGGGAGGGGGTTCGCCGGAGAAACTTAGCTCCATCTTTCACCCTGTCGACCCCCTCCTTCTCTTTTAATTGATGTGGGTGGAACTTTGCTCTGTGTGACAAAAGCCGGGTCATTAATGAGACCTTGTCAGCTTCCAAATCTCAGGTAGGTAACAAAGGCCTATTGGGAGCAAAGGCCCAGTTGAAGGAAACATAATTTTAGGAACCTCCTGACCTCCGCCCTGGCTTTCCTTATTACCAGCATCCATATCCCGCGTTCTCAAGCAACTCCTCCTTCTGCTCCTCTCACCCGACAATAATTCTGACAAAGGAAACGCTTTGAGAGCTCCTTCCTGCTTTTTTTTTTCTTAAATTATTTTCTTTCAATGTCAAAAAAGGCCTGAATGATCTGAAGATGGGCTCACTTCCAGAAAGTAAAGGGTGGGAGATTAAGGCAAAAGTGAAAGAGTAAAAAGACTGTGCAAAGGGCTTTCAGAAGTTACATGTGAGATGGGAAGAATGCGTAGTCTACACTTGACTAAGTCTGTAGAAATGAGGATTTTGCTTGTAATAGTTTAAGCAGCTTCTTGCAAGCTCCGGCCAAAACATGTCAAAGGTCAAGAGAGTCTGCCGAAGATGAGATGAAAACAAACTCAATGCAGTTTCTCTGAAATTATTCTCACCTGCCAAACCCATTGGTAATTTTTAGGAATCTTGCCTAATTCATTCATTAACTCCTGTTCTGTGCTAAAAATCCTTTACCTAATTTGTTGCTCCTGGTCAAAAACGGCCTTAGATTTGGAGTGGGGAAAAAAGCATTATTTGTACATAATTTTGGCAATGTTCACTCAAAAACTGAGGTCAGATTGACAAGGACTACAATCAGCCAGTTCTAAAAAGAAATGCTTGTGCTAATTGAATGAAAACAAGTTGATTGAAATAATTAATACAATATTTAGAAGTAGTATAGCATAAGGAGAGATTAACACATTTTTTTTTTTGTAGACATCACAAATGTTTCATGGTGTGGACAAAAGTCCTAAAAAAGTATTAAAATTATCCTTTTTTTCCCACAAGTTGTCATGCCCTGTGTGAGCAACGTTTTAGTCCAATGCGATAACATAAACTAGCATTTTTGGGGAAAAGAAAATCTTCTCAGAATTAAAATGACTGGTACACAACATGATGGTTAATATTTAGAAAATACTACCGACAAAAAGCATAATGGTGTATATTCTAAATGGTGTATCCATTCACATTACTCCGCTGTACTGTAGGTCTCAGTTAGTTGTAAGCTGTATGTGTTGAATGAATCACTACAAAGAACCATCTCATTTGAGCCATTCTGTCGTGATTCGGACTAAAATGGTTGTGTTGTGAAGATTAGCCTCTGAAGTATTTTACTGCCTTCAAAGATTAATAAAGGTCCAACTGGCCTTTATAGGTGTTTGGTCATGCGTCAAGAACATGAATAATTTCACCTAGACAAATCTGCACCAACTACCCTTTGGATTTTCTCAACTCTGGTTCAGCTGAGTTCAAATAATGGTACAGAAAGTAACATTTATATGAAAATTATGGGAGAATGGGATTTTTAAAATTTTTTTTAAGAAAGGTTTTAGCGCATTAAATAAAGCACTAAAACCAGTTCTTTATTCAGGAGGTCTGCCTGATTTTCAGAGCTGAATTGGACTTGACTCACACCTTTGAGCAGCTAATAATGAAAATTAGAAGTCACAGCACTTACTTCAAACACCGGTGTTTTTCATTTGACTGGACCCTTCCTCATAAACTCAATGTGAGCTCCAATCATCTGGGAGACTGGATGGATGTCTTATAAGCTGTTTGCACGCGTCCGTCACCAATGCTACCATGTTTGTAAACACGGCAAGTAACTAACACATTGGCCTTCAAAGACAGACATTATAGAATGAGGTTGCAGCTGTATACCTGAGTCATCTATCAGCACGTCTGGACATCCACATATGGACATTACTTAATTTACTTATGTACTGTTACAAGAAAAAGATTTCATGTCACATTCTGTTGCCTGTGAGCTGTAACTAACCTATTATTGCTTCCTTTATTTTAATTTTTAAACTTCAATATATTATTTATTATTTTTTAGGCTTTTTTTATTTTTCTTGCATTTTCTAGGTTGTAATATGTTTAAATTACATTTATGCATTTGATGGATGCTGTTTGATTAAAGGTTGTGTTGTTTAAATACTTTGCAAGTCGATTTGGATAAAAGCATCTGTCAAATGCATAAATGTAATGTAAATGTAAATACAACCTAGAAAATGCAAGAACATTTTTAAAAAACCTAATTTAAATAAATAAAATTACAATAAAATGAGTATTTCAAGAATGGAATGGCAAGCATTGGAGGACTGTTGTTTGCTTTTTGCTTTTAGAGTTTACCACAAAAATACATATGAACAATAATGAATGATAGACGTTTGTTATATAGTGACATTAAATTGCTGCAGTATCTTCTGTTTTTATTGGTGTCAGTGATTTAATTTCCAAACCCACTGGAAATAGCTTACATCCAAGGATGTTATTCTATCGCTACATTTTCTACTCCGTTTTCCAAGTCTTTCTGATAGAACACAGTATTTTGTATCATAATAGAACATTTTTAATTCAACAAGTACATTCATCCCAGGAAGTGTCACAAAGTTGCAGACGATAATTAGTCTATGAGTTTAAACTGGAAGGAATGACTGTTGAGAAATAGCTACACCTGCTCAAACCTGACAGCGAGGGTTTACTCAGTCACAGCTGAAAAGCTTTAACCAGAATCCCAAACCCAAGTTTTTCGGTCTGCCACCTGCAACACATGTGTTCAACAGATCTGCCTTCCTGTGTTTTTTTGTGTTCATTTCCCAACTGGCGCTAGGTCAACATCTCATTCAGCACCTCGACGTGTTAGTGTTTACAGTCCTTGTCCAAAGCCAACAGCTGATTTGTCTGCACCGTTTCCCCTTGCAGTATTATAGTGAGGCACCCAGCTGACACCAAATGGTTTGCAGCCTTTTGTCTTTTTTTCCTTTTAAAGCTGCTTTTTATGAGCCTTAAAGGCTCATGGATACTCTCAACAGATAACACCAGACATTATGAAGTTTGTGATCTAATGGATTTGCACAGATTGCCAGGACAATCTCACGCCATCTCCAAAACAATCTGCCCTATTGTCATGACAATGGGCCAGCCTCCATTTTAGTGCAAAAACAGCATTAGAAGAACCTAGCATGATGGACATCCACCCATAATCAATCTGAAACCAAATTGCCAGATGATAAAAAAAAAAGCTTTAGATAGAGTCGAATAGGTGAAATGCATTTTTGACTTTTGACTATTGATTTCATTGCTTGAGGCAGAGCAGTGGAAGGAAAAAAACATAAAATTGCATTATTATAATTTTTTTTTTTGAAGGTTTAACTTTTTAACATAAAACTCACATTTTTAGAATGCAGTATCATGTGTGAGACGCTAAAAAAAGTGACGTGAGCGGAACAGTCAAACACATCCATCTAGCGCATATTTGGAAGAGCACAACGGAAAAGCAGCTCAGTGTAATGCAAAAATTTGTTCCCTGTAAATGGCCCCTTAAACTCTTTCTCAAACATTTTTATTTACATTAACAGGGCTATTTTTTCCTGTAGGCAACACAGTTTCACAACAATTTGTAACCATTTTAATTTGTTGCAAATTCGTATAAATTACACATACGCAAATCCGTTGACATACACCCAACTGAGGGGTAAGTTTTGGGGTGGGTTAGGGATAAAGTTTAATACATATTTTTTCATGCAAATTGTACATTTTCTCATGAATTACATCATACAAATGTGTATGAAATTCCACACTCGTAATATATCTGTTTTCTCAAGAGATTGGGTTGAAAATGTCATTCTTGTGCGCAACCAACAGAAAACAAGATCACCACTGATTCATGCATTGATCACCATTAAAGCCAGATTTTTATTTTGGCCAGTACACCTAGAATCAGTTTGTCAGTAAATAAAATATGATGTCAACAAAATAAGTAATGCATTACTTTACTTGCGACTTGTATTCGTAACTTTAAAGTTTTATCCCCAACACTGGCCATAATATCAATCTAGCATGTTGTAGTTTTCTACATTTGCGTTAATTATGCCATAAGTGCCACATGAGTTCCAAAGAAAACCATGTCTGGAAATCTAGGTTGTTCTTGGTGGATTCACAAAGAGCATCATTCAAACTGGCCTATTGTAGTGTGTCCTGTTTTTTCTTGTCCTGGGAGAAAAAAAAAAAACATCCCTTGAGCATATGGATGCCTGGTTTTCTAATCAGCAATGATAGAGTGGCTTTTGATGGAGAAACTCGCCCTTTCTAAACCAGACTTCTGTTCCTTTTTTCCCCTCCTCAGGTCTGATGGAAATCCGATCTGTCAGTGTGGGAGTTGTCGCCATCAAATCTGTCAGCACTGGCCTGTACCTAGCTATGTCCAAAAAGGGAACGCTCTTCGGATCGGTAGGTACATTGCAATGTTTCAGCATCTTTTAGTATTAACATTTTGCAAATTACAGAAACAAAAATGTGCAAAAGCGGGTCATCCAGTGTATATCCTAGAACTAACATTACGTCTTTTACCGGAATGTCCAAATCTTTGGTCGCTTACTGTTTTTGTGAAATTAGTGCGTGCCACCAGACAGTTGTTTGTGGCTTGTTTAATGAAGACGCCCCATTGCATGGTGCACTTTAACTGCTCTCTGAGAAATCTCACCCTGGCAATCTGTCACCCAGCCATGATTAGATGGCTTACAGATGGCTATATCTGTCCCCTGATCCCCAGAGTAAACATGACAAACCTTGGGAATCACTCGAGGCCTAAGCACCCTTCTTTTCTTACTCTTTTGAATGATTATTAGTCACATTCACTCATTCTGCAATGATCTTATCGGACTGTAGGCTAAAGTTGCCTTGACCAGTACTCTTAAGTGTTGTTGTTATCATCTTTTTTGTCCCTTTTCAAGTAAATAGCTCTATCCAGTTGTGGCAGAGTGGCAGAGCTCTCTTGGCTTCGTCAGGCAGCTTTTTGAGCCCATGCGAGACAGTGATGGTTGATTTACAATGACAGGCTGGTTGAGATAAATACAAATGCGTAATGGGTATACAATGGGATGTTTGGAACATAACTCACTCCCAGATTTCTGAAGCTGTTTTTCACCACATGGTTCAGTGAGCTTGGTAAGACAATATGGTTTAATATGCTAAACACTAAAAGGAAATCACATACTCAGGACTTGGTGATCCAAATGTAATTATTTAAAGCTGCAGTCCGTAACTTTTTTTGGTTAAAAATGATCCGAAATCAATATTTGAGCAAGTACATAACCAGCCAGTGTTCTAAACTATGGCCTTACTTTAGCCCGATTCACAACTATTAAATTATATTCCAGTTTTAAATGTGCTTCTGATTACAGATAGCCTGGGATTACACAAGATTTGTATTTTAAAGACAACCAGTTCGAAGGGAGCATAATTTGCTTTTTGGGTTAAAATAATTTCTTAATATGAAATTCGAGTGGAATGACAATTAGAGATCAGAGTGTACAGAAATTGAAATCTACTTGCTTATACACACTATATTCACATAGTCACGTAATGCTGATGTTAACATTAACAATTTGAGAATAGAGTATAACAGTAGTAATGCTTTTTTCCTCAGTTGGTCAGAACAAACGTGGCAGACTTGTTACTTACTTGTTCAGATGACAATATACGGTGAAAATGCTTATTTGAGTCATATATTCCAAGATGTAGGCTAGAATCTGTGAGTGCAAAGTACAATATCCACACCGTTGCGGTCACTGACTGCCACACATACTCCTCAAAACATTAGATTCATCCGCGCTGGAGCCATGCCGCCGCACAACCCACGCAAGGAAGATAATTCCGCACACAACTGCAGTTGCAGGTTTTCAAACAGAGATGACGACAAAGAGGCAAAACCTACGGATTGCAGCTTTAAGAAAATGGCCATTGAATGGCCCCTTATAATATGAATATTGTGGCCTTAATGCTCAAAATCTGCTTTTAAAAAAATAAATTTCAGTCGTCTCGTGTAGCCAGACTTTTGACTTTCGGAAATAAACTTTTTAGCTTATCCTGGCAAAGAACCTTATAGTGAAATATATATCTATATTTTTTTTAAATTTCAAAATATCTAAAAAAATAAAATAAAAAGGCCAATATATATATATATATATAGTTAATATAGATGTTAAAACCAATTTTTTTTAAAGTATTTATTTAAATATATATTTCAATCTAAACATATTTATATTGTCCAATATTAGATTTTTGGTAAAAACCAATGTAATTGATATTAAACAGACTCTTGATGTTGCCATCATGATGAATATGTTTTTGAATTTCGTAAGCAATAATATAGACAACTAAAATGTTATTTTCATTAATGAATTCAGATGCCATTTTAGTTATCTAGATTAAAACTGAATTTATATGAATTTGACAATGAAATTGGCTAAAATTCAAGAATGTTTTTATAAGTGTATAAAAAAGAACACTGCAAGTACTAAACTACTGTAAATGTTTTGATGTTGTCAACAACACAGTTGGAGTAACTCAAACTGCACTCTTCATTTGACTCGTTGCAGGTCAGATACAGCCCCAGTTGCAAGTTCAAAGAGCGCATAGAAGAGAACGGCTATAACACCTACGCCTCGCTGCGCTGGAAGCACAGGGGCAGGCAGATGTTCGTGTCGCTGAACGGCCGAGGGAAACCCCGCAGAGGTCACAAAGCTAGACGGAGACACCCATCTACTCATTTCCTCCCTATGCTGGCCACATAGCTGGACTCTTCCTCATGAGCAATGCTATGCCATCTGCATTTGATGGGGACTTATTAAATGCTATTAAGTTTTGGTTTGTCTGTTTTTTCCTGAGTACTGCCCCACAGTACATTAACTTATTACTCTGTCTTCTGGCTCAGCTTAAGGCCCAGTTCAGTTTACAGTTTAAAGCAAGGCTGTTTATATGATGTATATACAGGTTACATATTAATGTTATTGTTGAGTTAACTAGGCATTTACTGCATCTATCTGTTCTCTTATTATGGCATATTTCTGAGTGACATCACCAACCCAGTCTCATTGTAAAAAAACGTACCTGTACATAGAACTCACTGCAGTTTGCAGTCTGCTTGCGTCACAAAACCAGCTCTGCAAACTACCGTTCAAAAATTTGGTATTAGTATTTTTTTATTTTATTTAAAAGAAATTAATACTTTTATTCAGCAAGGACACATTAAATTGATCAAAAGTGACAGTAAAGACATTTAAAAGGTTAGAAAAGATATCCATTTCAAATGAATGCTATTCTTTTCAACTTTTTATTCATCAAAGAATCCTGAAAAAAATATATAATGGTTTCCTCAAAAATATTTTTTTAGCGCCACTCACCTGACATTTAATTTCTTTAGCACCATTTCACTTGGGAACCACAGTGATACGCAGAAAAAGCAACGTAATCTCATTTTGAAAAACTGCCACCACTGCCACTTTCTATTTTTTCTTCATGAGACTGGGCTGGATATTACGGCTGTTGACTGGTAATTTTTCAAAAGCAACTACTGGAAGTGGTTGTTTGAAAATTAAAAAAAAAACATCCAAAACAATCTGTTGCATCTTGAAACACAAACTTGGCAGCTACAGTATCAGTATGAAAGCCATTTTCAGTACAGAAAAAAATGCAACTTTAAACATTTCTTGTAATTGGAATGATGCATCAACAAGAAACTGACATATTACCCTGCCAACATGAACTGTAAAGACCAATAACGCACAAAATAGGAACATACAACATCACAGATAGACAAAAGGTCAGAGATATGCAAATAGATGAAGTACTCTTTAAGTACAAGTAAGTAGCATAACTGACTTCCTGTAACGCTCTGAAAAGGTGTTTTATACCCATGTGTTCTTACTGTCACATTAACATGTTTTCTTTTCACAACTTGTCGCAAAATAGAACTTTTAATATATTTCAACTTTTGAACTCCACTGTTCATTTGTGATGTTATTGTCTATGTTTTGTCCTCCGCAACCACAGTCTGCTCCATGTATCGGTGAGAATCTGACTCCTTCCACGTGCCACCGACCACAACTGCATGTTCTGCCTACTAATGATCAGCATCACCTGCTGAGTGGTTAGCCGTGGCAGAAAGTCCAAAGATGCTGTCCAAAAAGGCGGAATTCTAGCCGTGCTAATGGAAGCTTCATCTGTTTAAGTCAAAACAGGGGTCTGCTTTCACCTGTTGCTGGCAGTCGCTAAAAAGCTCCGGAGACTTCTATGCCCATCTCGCCTGTTAGTCAAAAGTAAAAGGATTTTATTCACTGTGTGAAATGTTGGTTGACATTTTGTTTAGTTATATGTGTTAAAAGCGATGAAACTAATGGGGTATGCCGAGTTATGTGCGTATATTATGTTACAAGAGTACTGTGGTTTATTAGCCTCATTGATTCTCATCTTATTTGGTGGTTTAATGACAACAAAAATCCTTAATGCTACTACTAGTGACATAATGATCCAACAAAACTTCAATTTATAGTCACACTTGGGCTGCAAAGCTTGGAAGACAGTAGAAAAGCTCTATTCAGAACGAAAATCATGCAAAATAGAAGGCCAAAAGATCTTAAAGGGTTTTTTAGCCAGATACTAATTGTACAAAGAATATTTATTCTCTGGTTCTTATTAATCTATGTTCAGAAACTAATATTCTCATCTGAAGAAAACACAGTATAATGCAACATCAAGAACTTATTTCAATCTCCAAAAGCCTCATTGATTCTCATCTTATTTGGTGGTTTAATGACAACAAAAATCCTTAATGCTACTACTAGTGACATAATGATCCAACAAAACTTCAATTTATAGTCACACTTGGGCTGCAAAGCTTGGAAGACAGTAGAAAAGCTCTATTCAGAACGAAAATCATGCAAAATAGAAGGCCAAAAGATCTTAAAGGGTTTTTTAGCCAGATACTAATTGTACAAAGAATATTTATTCTCTGGTTCTTATTAATCTATGTTCAGAAACGAATATTCTCATCTGAAGAAAATACAGTATAATGCAACATCAAGAATTTATTTCAATCTCCAAAAAACCTGTACATAGCTCAACTCAAGAGTCTTAAACAGTCACAAATGCTTCTTGATAAAAGGATTCTTTGCTGGACCTACAATGTAAAAATGAAAGGAGAACATCTTTTGGAGAACTTCTAAGAATCCTTTTGAAGGTCCTTCAAATCTAATTCTAAATCTAATTGCTCAAGGAACTTCAAAATATATTTCAACTACCTGAAAACCTTTCCCTTATAATGGGATCCCTGGAAGAGCCCTGATGTTTTCAAAAGTCTAGCAGGATGATCTGGGTTTCTACAGGATCTTCTAAGTTCCTCATGGAACTGCCCGTTATTTTAAGCCCTGTAGATATTTTATATCAAACATAAGTTTGCAGATACATTTTCAGAACATGCTTAAAAACTAAAAAGCGGGGAGTTTTATGATGTAGTATTAATGTACATGACAGCAAAGCTTAATAAAGACACCATCATATTATCATGCAGAAATGCAATATCCTCCTTTAATCTACACTCTTCGTCTAAAGAGTAAAAGCACTTTAGTTTTCTTCTTTTCTCTTTCCCCGTGTTACAGGTCAGGAATTCAGGCTGTAGTGCATAGTGTCTGTTTATGCCAGTTTTTTTTTTTTTTGCTTGAAAGACATAGAAAGAAACATAAAGAGGAGCCTGTAATTATCATTGTTGGTCTACTGTCCTGTCAGTTCGCTCGCCAGAGAGACCGGAGTGATCTTTTGGCAGCACTAGGACAAAAGATCAAAGCTGTGGACCTTTGATCAATGCTAAAACAGCCCACAAAACGTCTCTGTGGAAAATCAGGATGGAATGCTTGAGAAAATAGAGGACAAGCCCCTGGAAAGCTCGGCGAAGACATCTTCTGTCTTCCATTTTTAGACAGTGGTGGCAGTTTGATTGTTCAGATTTCAAAGACAGTGAGCTTCCCTGTATTACATTTTATATATAAATTATATTAACAATAATATAATATAATATAATATTATTATAAAGAATCTACAAAAAATAAAGCAGTTACCAATAGAGGGTAACAGAGTGACCATGTTAACCAAAGCCACTAGCTTCACCAAAAATAGTTTTCAACGTTTTGTAAACACTCTACCCATCTGCCACCAATTATTTATACAAATTGCACCATTATACACTGTAAAAAATGACCGTGAATTTAACGGTAAAAGACTGTAAAAATGCTACAGTAAAAACCTGTTAAATGGTTAACGGTAAATTCCCCTACTATATACGGTGAAACACTGTATTGGACATTACATGTATTGGACATTAATTTTACGGTAGTATACCGTTTTTGGAAGTGAAAAAGACCGTATAATTTACAGGGAATAACCGTAAATTGACATTCCCAGAATTCCCTGCGTTAAATTTCAGATTTGATGTTTTTTGTTGAAATAACTATGTTTCTTCTTAGTTTTATCTTATCAGTTTTGTATATTAGGGTTGTGCGTTACACCTAATGTTGTTAAATGAATGTTAATTGCATTATTTCAGTTTCATGTGTCTTACCATGATGGTGTTTAGTGTTTGTGTGAACGACACAGTGCACCTTCTATATATGTTAATATTTAAAAGCTGCTTGTGATAGGCTTTAGTTCATCATGTGACTTTCTCATCACCACCTGCAGTTGGTGGTTATCAGTGTATTACAAAGGTACAAAAAAGATTTCAGTACTTCAATAGGTTGGTATATTAACATTATATCAGTTAATGAAAATACGGTATTTAACTGTAAATTTAAGTTAAAACCGTAAAACCTAAAACGTTGCTACCGTATTTTTTACGGTAAAATTCCGGCAACCACAGCTGCGTTTTTTTTACCGTAAATTTTACGGAATTTTTTTTACAGTGTTGTCTTGTACAACTGTGATAAACAGCCGTACTTTCATTCTCTCCTTTTCTCTTTCTTGATGTATTTTCCATCTGTTCCATTTATAATCTACCTAAAGGCCAAAAATATATCATGCAGGATCAACATTTCCAACTAATAACCAGTGAACCACTTCAGTGTTTTCAATGTAATCAAGTTCGCCTCACGAACAGCGCGCTGATTTAGAGTCAAGAATGAACAGAATCTAAATTCTCCTCAATTTGTTGGGGCAACTCTCTGGGTTGCTTTGAAATCGATGCAGTTTCGTAGGCAATTCAATATTTCTTTAGCCTCCAACTATTTCTGCATTTGATTTTGTCCATCCTCTTACTTTGAGGCCATGTTCATTACATACAGCATGATGGCTTTTTCAAGTCTGTCAAAGAGCCTGGTGTTACAGCATTGCATCTGTGCGAGACAGTTTAGGATGGCAGTTAAAATGAGTTATTGCATGACTCTAAGGCTGAAAAAACACAGCTTTCAGAAACCCCTCGTCCTTTTCCTCTTGCGGTCGCTCTCTTTCTCTCAACCTTGGCAGTCACGACAAGCTTCATCACAGCGTCGATTGTCATCACGTCGAGGATTAGTGTGTGTTGTCTGAAGCGACTGGACGCACATGAATCCTGGAGTGGTGCGAGCGCCTCGTGGCCCTCATGAACCCCACCATGCCACTGTCGAGGTATGTGCCGCCACCACAGAGTCTCCCCAGACTTCTGCACCATTTTGGCATTCCAAGAATGCCTGCGGGCAAGCCAAACGCTGGCGAGTGGGTTGAGCAGGCTGCCGTGAGGAGGGGTTGCTGTCCATTGTTATAGGTTTTG